GCTGTGTTCCCACCTGTGGTCTGTTCCCTCAGTATTCTCTGTGTGTTTATATTGTCTCAGTCTTCCCTTGCCCTTTGCCATGTTCTCCTTCTAGGCTGTGTTTATCTTGCTGTACGCTCCATGTTGTCCATGTTCCCTCGTTTATGCCTATCTCATGAGTTCCTGTTTTCTGCTTGGTCAGATTTATTTTGTATAATGTATTTTATTGTCTTTTGCTCAGCAATAAAGCTGTTTTGAGTTTTGCATTGTTCTTTTGAAGTCCTGCATTTGGGTCCTAACCTGCCTTCTACACAGCCAACGTGACACATCGCTTCAAAGTTGAGATCATTTTAATGGGATACCCACCCATTTTGACTCGCCAAGAATTATATTAGTGGTTCTTGTATCATTGCTAGTTTCTTCCTGTGAGGGAGATAAAAAAAAAATGCCAGTTCTGCAAGTCTTTACCCATGGTGCAGACTAACAAAGAAAAATTAAAATGCAGACCTGACGATAGTGCTGGAGGAAAAAAAATATACAAGACTGTGACAGAGTCATTAGGATTGAACCTCTGGGGATGGACCCCCAGGCCACGGACTGGTCTGTGAGTCGTTTGGTACCGGGCCGCAAGAGTTGAGGCTCGGGTGTGAAATTTATGGTTTTCAGGGTTTTTATCATTATTTTTTAATCATTTTTATCATTAACTCGGTTACCCTGGGTCTTTTCCCGTGTGTTATGAATAAATCTTCTTATTTTTGGTACCGGTACTGGTTTTACTTTGTTGTATTTATCCACGACACCTTAAAGATTGGTCCGTGAAAATATTGTTGGACATAAGCCGGTCAGTGTCGCAAAAAAAGTTGGAGACCACTGATCCAGAGGACTCATTATCAGTTTTCTGTGGAATTATTTTACACACTGATTTGTGGTGGACAGAAATTCAAGTAACAACTACAGTATGTGAAAAGCTGACACATAAAACCAAATGAATCCATATGGTTGGACACCAGAAGAGGTTAAGTAACAGGAAATCTGTTTTTTGGTCATCTAGAGTGAGTGAGACATGAACAGGGTAGAGAAAGAAGGGAGAGACTGAGTGATTCTGCGTACAGATGGAGTACAGAGAGGAAACCATTAGTGAGATACTGTTGGACAGAAATCAAGACCTGCTAGTCACACACCCACACATGAACACACAGAGTGCCACACACACACAGACACACACATAATTTATGCAAAGAGAACAGGGGAGATTGAAGACAGCTGAAGGAAAGAACAGAGAATAACAGGGAAAGTAAAGGTTAAAATTAGAGGAATAACTTTCCTTATAGTTTAACACAAATTCCTATCTTTTTTTAAATATCTTTTGATCTTCAGATCTCCTTTAATTGGTTGAGAGACTTTTCAAACTGGCAAAGCATTAGTATAGCATTTGTTCATTAGAGGCAAGTTCATGTAGCCCCTTTCTATAATACCTTTCTTTTTTGAAATTTGGTCACATTTAGTGTAATTCCAGAGTTAGGACCCAGAGCAGTTTTTTTTGTCCTTAGAGTTTGAAGATTTTTTCAATTTAACTCAGTTTTATTTTTATAGTGCCAAAAAACAATTGCCTCAATGTGCTTTATGTTGTAAAACAACAAGTCTACAATAATAAAGTGAAAATCCAAAAAATCAGACAACCCCTCTGTGAGCAAGCACTTGGTGACAGTGGAATGGCAAAACTCCCTTTTAACAGGAAGAAACCTTCGGGAGGACCAGGCTCACAGACGGGTAACTATCTGCCACAACTGTTTGGGTTTGATGGGAGGGAGACAGGACAAAAGAGATGCTGTGGATGAGAGCCTGAGATTAATAATAACTTCACTTCAGAACTAAATGATCTAGTAAACAAAAACAGAAAGAAAACACACACACACCAACAGTTTCTCTCAATGACTTCAATTCAACAAAGTCCAGTGTATTAATAATTCAAGTGAATACCTTGTAAAATCCCACATCTAGTTAAACAAAACACAGTTAAAGCAATAATTACAGTTACCTGGGACTTATCAGGTGTTTTTTTACAGCTCTATAGATATAACTAATGTTTTCAGGATTTATTTTGTAATTATAAACCTCAGATTATGATCTGAATATTGAATACATCATTAAATTGCTCGACATCCTTAAACCTCCCACAAGATCAAATGAACACACTAGATAAAAACCCTATCTCTAATGTACTCAATCAAATGCCCAATAATAAAATGCCTGTAACTGAAGGTTTCTCCAGTCACTTTGAAAGACATTTTAGACAATTTAACTCTATTATTTATAAGAATGATTTCAAAGAGTCCTCCAAAGTATGAATACAACACCTGATGACATTACTCTTGAAGCAAAAGATCCTTGATCCAGAGAACTATCAACCACTATCTCTTATTAATATGGTTAGGTTATTAAAATGAACTAGATAAAATCATACAATTTCTAATTCATCTTGATCTGAAAGGTTTTACTAAAAGTAGATATTCATCCACTAATTCCCAAAAACTTTTCAATTCAATACAATACAGCTTTCAAACAACAATAAACACCATAATTTTATTATTAGACAGAGAAAAAACATTTGATAGAGTTAAGTAGAAATTACTGTTTCCAACACTTGGAGAAAATTAATTAAATGACTGAATAAAGACACTTTACACTTCACTAAAGACCGCAGCCACCACCAATTAATTGAGTTCACAAAACTTCATTCTACACAACAGGACAGGTAAAGATGTCCTCTCTCGCCACCTCTCTTTGCTGTGTTTATTGAACCACTAGCAGCTACAATAAGACAAAATGGTAAAAGTATCCAAACAATCACTACTCATCACGTCTCTTCTTAACCTAGCTTCCACAACTTTTTCCCATAGCTGCATGGTGAGGCAAATCAACTCTATCCCCCTGTACTTACTATACCTCTGCACATTACTGTTGTTCTGGAAATCTGGAGCCAGTATACTTTATTACCATTCCTCAGTCATCCTCTCATTCTTTAAAACTGTGTTTAAAAAAAACTGGCCAAACAGTCCACTGTACTCTTCTATATACATCTCCATAACTCAACAGGTTTATCATCTTTCAATCTCTCAACACACTCTCTTCTCTTGTTAGCACATTTCCGTTTCTCTCCTTAATCACCTTAACCTGCTGTGCATCACTTGCAGCTAAATCTTTCTGCTTAGCCAATCAGCAACAGTAATTTTCTCTTTCCCTTGTGTCTATCTCACATACAACAATTCACTAAAAGCCTTTTCCTTTGCAGGCTCTTTCTTTGATGTACCCCAGCCTTCCAGTACTCCTGTTTACTTTCGTCATCTCCCTGACTTACTTTTTACTCTTTGCTATCCTCTGCCTTTGAATACTTTCCTGTACTTCCTGTACTTCCTTATTCCACCACCAAGTGTCCTTGTCCTCTTTAGTTTGTCAAAAGGCTAAACCAAATGCCTCAGTACTATCTGATAACTCTCTTACCACCCAGAGCTTTTCATAACTCTTCCCTGAACTCTGACCAACATTCTGCTTTCTCCAACTTCCACCATTTAATCCTTGCCTCTGCCTTCACCCACTTCCTCTTCTTACTCTCCAAAGCCATCCTACTGATTACCGAAAGCCCTCCTGTTACATTCTACCCTGCTACCACCTTGCAGTTTCCGATCTCCTTCAAATTTAATACTGTCTGTCCTTCATTTCTGTTCTATATCAAGCACCTCCTCATCACACTCTCTACCATTACCTGTATTTGACCCCCTTTGCAAAGATTGCAAAGATTTCCATAACAGAACTTAAAGGTAAGGCAACTCTAAAGATACAGTCACCTTTCTCACTCACTATGTGTTAATAGACTTCTCTGCATTGACTCATTCTTGTTATTAATCCCTGGCTCTCTTTCACAGCATGTCTTTTGTCCTGTCTTCAATTCTCTCACCCAGATGGCCACCCCTCCCTGCTGGAGGTTTCTTCCGGTTAAAAGGGTTTTTTTCCTTCCCATTGTTGCCAAAGTGCTTGCTCATAGGGGGTGATATGATTGTTGGGTTCTTCTCTGTATTATTGTAGGGTCTACTATACAATATAAAGCCCCTTGAAGTGACTGATGTTGTGATTTGGCACTGTTTAAATATAAAATAAATTGACAATAAGGTATGGTAATTTATTTTCTGACAGCATAAACATCATGATTTGATTGATGATTATATTGTACTTTATTACTTTACCTAAATTACAATTTGAGGAATTACCACAGATAAAACATTTATATAATGCTTTTGGCAACATAATACAAAACTCCAGTTTTACTGTTGCTGCATAGACACAAAACAAACCCTGCTTCACTTGAAAACTTGATGGCTCTCACGCTATAGTTGACTAATACTTCATATTTTATGTTGGAAGTATAACAGTCCAAACCGAATGTGAAAAAGATCACTCATTGTCCTGAATTGGATAACAGATGAATAAGCCAGAGTTAGGACGAGGATTGAGGGATAAATCTGTTTATGGAAAATAATAAATAGCTTAAAAAATCAGTTTACTGCATCTCTCATTCTACCTCTTCCCATCCTCCCTTTAACATTTCTGTCCCCTTCTTCTCTTCTCTCTCACGCCTTCACAAACCGCCTCCGCAGTCAAATTGATTTAAGTCTGCCTCCTAAGGGGGTTATGGCATGGGCATGTGTGCCTTCTGTACAGTTTTCTTGTATGTTTCAATCTGTCTGTAAATTTGGACTCTGGAGAAAGCTCCTCGCCCTCAATTTGCAATTCAGTGCACAGAAAATTGCGCAGAGGTATAATCCGTCAGAGCCACAGCCTGTTCTGCCAAAAAAAAAAGAAAAAAAGAAAAAACAATGTGTCAAAATTATCTGCGTGCTAATGAGAGGAACACAACTCTCCAAGTTGCTGCTGGAGGACTGCAGAGGCTGGAGGACTGACATAGGCAGAGGATGAAGAAAAGATGAAGAAAAAGGGGTCAAAGATAATATTCACCAGGGGTTTACCTCGCATCTGCTTCACTGTAGTATTCTCGAGCCACAATATCCTCAAACAACTCCCCTCCTGTCACTCTGAGAAATAGAAAGATGGAGGTTAAAATGGCAAATTATATAAATTTTTATTCTTTACCCAGACAGCACAAATGTATACACACACACACACACACACACATGCAGGAGGGGGATGTCCTCATTAGGGGGAAACCCCGGTTGCAGGATTCACTCTGACTGTGTTGCCATGGAGACTGGCTCCAGTGCGGGGGAGTGTAGATCTATCTGTGTGTGCACTAAAGCGGGAGCCGCAAGGAAGGGGGTGGGGGTGCTGTTATGCAATGGGGGAACTGCCTTGGAACCAAGAAGGGGGATGGAGACAGAAGAGAAAAAAGAAGAAGAGAAGAAGGAATGAAGAGATGCAGGTATAAAGAAAGAAATCATGTAAAGCAGTGGCATCACTGAGGAGACAGATGCCATAAGGACTGAAGGAAGGGAGTGGAAAATGAAGCACCATTGGAGAGGAAAGAGGAGGCAGAGGACAAGGGAGGGGAGAAGGGAAAAAAGAAGTAGAGGATGGAAGGAGAAAAACAGGAGAAGTAAAAAAGAAAGGAAGCAACTCACAGGTCAAAGAGGAGATAGTGGAAGCCTTCCTCAGAGATACTGTCATGAAGACGAACTGCAAGAGGGATATCAGACTAATTAGGTCTGTTTTAGGACATTTTTTTATTCAGGCTGCTATAAAGCACATTTATTAAGGCCTTTCGGCACTATTATAGACCAAATGAGCCCATATATTTAAGACATACTGGTAAGAACAAACAATAGATATTGCTTTAGCTTTTTCTATTTCTATTTTTTTTAACTGACGAATATTTTTCCACAAGAACTGATATTTCATATTGCTAAACAGCTGATCAGCTGATCAGTCAACACTAGTGCTACTCTGGGTAGCAAAGGACATTGCTTATTCACTGATATGAATTAGGCTGTTAATTTAGGCCAATATAAAATGAGATGCAGATTTAGAGTGTCTTTTGGAGTGTTATAGGTTTATCTTTCAAATGATGCATCATTTCTCTTGCATAGTGTTAAAGCCATAGGTTTGTTTGTTTTTTTAATTTTTAGAAACATGCACAGCATTACTGTTTGACTTGCAAAACTTCAGTGCAAAGACTTTGAAGTTCACATTGCACGTCTTTCTTTGTGCATTGTTAAGAGGATCATTGTGCACTCTTCTGATTTTTCTGATGATAGTCATCAACCCCACAACTCACTTCACTCAGGGTCACAGATTTTAAACAATTAATATTAACAAAGAACAACTTAGTATGACTGTATATATAATTCAATAGTTTAGCTAACTCAGTAAGATTCCTAATGCAAAGGGCTTACATTAACACATTCTGATTAAGCCTCATCACGCCCACTAACATGATGTTGTCAGATACATATACAAAATAGACAGCTGTACAATAGAAATAAGAAAAGCAAAACTAAATTCATAAGTATTGCTCAGTTCCAATGAAGCTTATGCGTAAATTCAGTGAGGAAGATCTGTAATCTCTTATCTCATTTCCCCACACTGTTAAACTCAATTCTGATATCATTACTCTGTCCAATAATATTCTTGCCTGCTGTCTACAAACTACTTATGCTCAATTCCGTGCATTTTACATACTCTCCTGTCTTTGTATTATTCAGACTCTCACTCTTGCCCAATTATTTTCTCATCTGCCTTCTTTGAGCCAATCAGCCTCCGCTTCGCATGATTTGAATCTGTGCTCTTCGTCTATCCCCCTTTCAGACTTTCGTTCGTGCAACCCACCTCCTCCCCAACTCCACCTCAGACACCTGTGTTTTCAATGGGAGAAATGTTTCGTCACTCATCCAAGTGACTTCTTCAGTCTCAGCTGACTGCAGGTTTCCCCAACCTTAAGTTCTCATTAGAATTTGCATATTAATAATCAAGGAACTGACCTCACAGCCCATTGTTCATTCACCGGGGTGGTTTCCGTTATTGTACTGTTTATAAGGTTGGGGAAACCTGCAGTCAGCTGAGACTAAAGAAGTCACTTGGATGAGTTATCTTTAAAAATGTAATAAACAGAAATCTGAAAAAAAGTCTCACCAATGTTGGGATGCTTTAGCAATCTGCAGATCCTGGCTTCCCGCTCCAGTTTCTGATGGTCTACAAGGAAGTAAGGCTATGTTAGTTTGCAACAAAACAAGCAAAGCAAGAAAACGCCACTGTGGTCAAAACGAATGGCAAGGAGAAGAAACATGAGAAAAAGGGGGATGGTGTGACGGTGAATAAAACGCGTTGAGAAATGAAGAACAGGGAACAGAATGGGGTGCGAAAACAAGAAAGTAAGCACACAAGAAAGAAAAGGAGGGGAAAAATGAGAAGAGAGGAAACATGGAATGAAAAACAAAAAGAAAACAGGGAGAAAATAGAAAAGGAGAGGACAAAAAACAAGGCAGAAAAAGAAAACGATACCAAAAACAACTGGAGAGGATGTGATATGACAAGAAAAAGCAAGAAGTAAAACAAGAGAAGTGATAGAAGGGGAAACGAGAGAGAAAAGTCGAGTTAAACAATTATAGAAGTGAAGAAAACATCAGTGCAAAGGAGAGGAAAAAACAGGGACAGAAAAGACAGAAGATACAAGGGAAGAAAGAAGAGAGGAAAAAGGGAAAGGAAGAGGAATGGTGAAGAGAGAAGTAGACAGAAAAGAAGGAAGAACCAGCAGCAAAAGCAGAAAAACAACATCAGAGGAAAGAGACTACAGGAGAAACATATCAGGAATGACACTGCAGAAAGAATAGAAAATAGAAATAGGTAGACAAGAAAAAACCAAGACAGGCATAACAAGGGATAAAATAGAGGAGAAAAAATACAGGTAAGGAAATGACCAAAAGGTGAAAAAAGTAACCAAGGAAAGTAGAGAAGGAAACAAGAAGAGCTTTGGTTCAACTGAATGTTTTTCTTGGAGGTTAGTGTAAGAGATCCAAGTAAGTCTCTGTGCTGTAGGCAGCTAGTGTTGCCCTACAGTTCAGACACAAGCATCTGTATCAGTTCTGCACACAGAGGAACAAACAATTTCAGCGGAAACATTCCTGAACCTGAGACAGAACTGGTTGTATTTTTAATAAAGGTTGTGTGAGGCTGACACTCCCACAGTCCCACCGATGAGCTAATTTCTGAACAGCAATAACACCACTGTATTTTTAGCTGCTTTCAGAGGTGTTTTGTATTGTCTTTCCTTTTCTGTCAGTGTTATGTTGGGAAAAGTAAAAAAAAAAAAACATAATGCAGCTGTCTCATAGTTGGACTCTCCTTGTAAGTATTTTTTGGGGAAATGATTTTCAAAGCACAGATTAGTTCTCGTGCTGTGGATTATGACTGAGCCTATCATCTGCCTCTCTCCGAGAAACAGACGTGAAGGCTTCACACTCTGGAATCAAACAAGCGCTAAAATATGCTAATGTGAGCCTTTCAAATCTGGGACATACACATGATGATGACATGATGTCTCTGCTTCTTCAAATTCCTGAAAATGCAGAGAGTATTTGATTGCTTTGTTTTTCACTCTCACCTCTGGCCGAGAGCTTTTTGGTATTGATGATTTTGGCTGCATACTCTTGGCCTGTACAAAGTTTGACACAGCGACGCACCACTGAAAAGGCCCCCCTGGGGAAAAAAAAAAGACAGGAAACAGGGGGTGAGAGGCTGCTGTATAAGCTTGGTCAGCATCAATAGGGACATCATAGCTGTCTGTCATTCTGGACTCTTTTCTGTCTAATCTAATACAGAGTATTATCCAAAGGTTTTAGGTACTGAAGCAGAAAGGTAGAAAATCAATCACAGCTGTGTTAACCTGATGCCATGTCTTTGTACTGTATGAAGAAACCAGAAAATCCATGCAGACACAGGAAGGACGTGCAAACTTACAGAAAGGCCTCAGATGGTAGATTTGAATCCTGGACCTTCTTGCTGTTAGGCAAGCATACAAACTAGGGTGGGAGAGGGGGGGGGGAGGGGGGGAGGGAGTGGGAGGGGGGGAAAAGGGGGTGGGGGAGGAGAGGGGGGGGGAGGGGGGTGGGGGGAGGACTGGGAAGGAATGAAAGGGAGGGCGGGGAGTGGGAGGAGAGAGACGGGGATGGAGGGGAGAGGAGGGGGTGAGAGGGAAAAGGGAGGGGAGGGGGGGGAGGGGGGGGGAGGGGGAGGGGAAAAGGGGAGGAAGGGAGGAAGGGGTGTGGGGGAAGAGAGAAGGAGGAGAGAAAAGGGAAAAAGGAAGGAGAGGGGAGAAGAGAGCAGGGGAGAGGAAGAAAGGAGGGATGGGAGAAGGGGGGGAAAGAGGGGGGAGAAGGAGGGAGGAAGGGGGAGGGGGGGAGAGGTCGAAGGTGAACTGCAAATAATTGGATTAGGGCTGGGCCATATTATACCGTTCACGGTAATACCGGTATAATGTTAGGCAACGATAGGAAAATGAAATATCGCGATAGAATATGAGTAAAACGCGCATGCGCAGTGCCTTTGTTTTCATACGCACATGGCCGATTGTTGAGTGAAACAGATGAACCAGAATTGGTTTGTAAAAATGGTGCAACTTCAGTGATGTGGAACTGGTTTGGTGTTTGTCCGTCAGATACACGACAAAGCACATTTTTTTGCAGAACATGCAAGCGGCCGTTGGACTAAGATGCCCTTAAATCTGGGTCCTAAACTCCGTATGCTTCAGGTCAAACGAACACTGCAGCATCACTAAGAGTTAAAAACTGTCTAAATTCTTTCATCTTTAATAAAACGATCAGCATTGCTGCTTTACCAGGTGTAACTATGAAGTTTAACTTCCAGGCATCCATGAAAACAAAATGTATTACATTTAACGGAGTTAGAAGTAGCAGGAAGCTAGCGGAAGTTAGCTCGCTAGTTTCGCTAGTTACCTAAGCATGATATTGCATGTTCTGACTGAGAGATTTCTGAAAAAAATCAAACGTACAGCTCTGCTATCACTTCCAACATAAATGAAGACAGGAAACTAAACAGCAGTGACGTTTGTAGGGTTACTGAAGTTGGGCTAGCTGGTATATAATGATGTGCTACGTGATCGCTAGCGACACAGCTATGTTAGCATAACATAAACAGTGAAGCTGGAGGACAAACACTAACACTTTTCCACTTATAAAAGTTAACGTTAAGGTTCCTCATGGTTAGAGACAAATGCAATCGCATGGCAGGATGCTGTAAAAGGACCAACTTCAGTCAGGAGAACAACTGAGATAATCCATCCACAATACGAGGTTAGTCATTAATATACTGCAACAACATGGGAATAGAGCAGCTGCCAGAGAATTCAACATTAATGAATCAATGGTACAGAAGTGGAGGAAGCAAGAAGAATGAGTTTAATAAAGTTTGATTTATCTGACTGCTTTGTTTCGCTTAATGTGCCTTATAATCCCGTGCACCTTATGGTCCGAAAAATACGTACTGCACACTGCAGTTTAATGTTGCAAAGCACCTCTTTTTAACTTCAGTGGATATTATACATGGTTATGCTCAGGATATGTCAGCCCATTTCTACTGGAAATGCCTTTTGGTTAAACTTTCAGCAAGGAATTTGCATTTGCACTGTTACATTTTTATAAAGCTTTAATGTACATAAAAACCAGCTTCTTGTTTAAGTGAAAATAAATGATAGGTTGTCTTTTTGCGCTAGTAATGTTGTGGAGTTGTATTTTGTCTCGCATCAATTATATCGTCAGTTATATCGTTATCGCAAATTTTCAAATATATATCGTGATAAATATTTTTGGCCATATCGCCCTGCTCTAATACAAACCACCCATCATTTCCGACATAACCATGTATCTCAGTGAGCACTATTACCTAACCTATTCCTAAATCCAACCACAGCCACATAAAAGCATTATTTAAGACATAAACGTTGTGTCCAAGAGAAACAGTGCAAAGATGCCTTTTCCTGCAGTAGTAACTCACTTTTAATTACTAATTTTAATTTGATGTCAGATTAGTTTAAGCAATTTTTTAATCCAAGAAATGTATCTACTAGATAGAGTGAAATTAGTTATACAATCAAACCCTATACAATGTAGCCTTTGTTGCAGCTCTATTTGTTTATCTATTCTTTTCCAAAAACAAACTGTGAATATGTTGAGAAGAGAATAAATTAAAATCACAAGCCTAAATTTTATTTAGGTCTCATATTTTGATCACATTCGGTTGGGTGTCCTGGTCAGTGGTCAACCACAAATCATTAAAAACATCACTATCCCCTCACACAGGGAGTATAGTAATGGACTGGTTCTTATATAAAGCGCTTTTCTACTCATCTGAGCACTCAAAGCGCTTTACACAACTTGTGCATTCACACAAGCACATTTTTTTAAGTGCTTTATAGCTAACATTCACACGCATTCGCACTCCGATGGATGCATTGGAGAGCAATTTGGGGTTAGTATCTTGCCTAAGGATATTTGGCATGCAGACTAGGGGAAGCCAAGAATCAAACCACCAACCTTCCGACCAGTAGATGATCTCCTCTACCACCTGAGCTACAGCCACCCCAGAGTATATTTCATGTTTTCTCTTAACTATTCTAGATTAGTTCCTCTCTTACCCAATTAAGTGCTTCAAATTTATATTACTTAGATTTTTCTGTAATTAGCAGGTAATGGATCTGACTGCGGAACCAAGGGACACGGTACTATTATTTAGTATCTACTGTGGATAACAACATAGGCCCTCTCTGAAGTATACTCTCCTTTATTGCTTTATTTGCTAAACAGGAGCATAAATTACAATAAGAGCACAGTGCTGTAAAAATATTTTAACTTATAGTGACTGACAACATAAACTGATCAGGTAAGTGTTTAGTGAGGGCCTAAATATAGTAAGCAGTTTTCGTATAGACTTCTATACAACATAGGTTCTTTTTGCAAACAGAGGAGCCTCCTTCCCTGCTGGCCATTGGAAACAATGGAGATTTATGACATTTTCACACCGGCTTCACTTTTCAGACCCAGAAGACGTGTCCGTTTTTTATACTTTACACATTCTATCATCAGATCACATAACATCCAGTGTGGAAATTAAGCCTAGGCTTAGGATAGCCTGGCTGATTAAGGCAAGTTCTAATATGGTCTACTACAATGACACTGGCATGAAATATCATTATGTTCAGGATTGATAGGCTTCTTTTTCAGTGTTGGTGCTACTCCAGCACCAACACTCAAAATGTGTTCTTCTTCTTTCGGCTACTCCCTTTAATGGTCAGCACAGCAGATCATTTGCCGCCATCATCCACTCGTCCTTGCACTCTCTTCTGTTACATCTACCTTCTGGATGTCTTCCACATTCATAATTCTCTTTGGTCCTCTTTTCCATATACATTCACTATCTCTACATCTTCGTCTTCACTGTTACCTGTCACCTGTATTCCTTTTTGATTCTATTGACTTTCATTCCTCTTCTTTCCAGTGCATATCTCCACCTCTCCATGCTCTTTTCCACCTACATATTCCAAAGATCACTCACTGTCCTCATACATGTCTTACACCATCCTCACACACTTCTCTGCCACTTCAGACTTCTTCATACTGCTACTCATTCATTGTCACCTCTCTCTTCTTAACCTAGCCTCAACAACTCTTAAAAAGTAAGGGCTCTTATATTGTCTGTCTGTCTGTCTGTCTGTCTGTCACTGCACTGTCAAACAGACAGACAGACAGACCAAAAGGGCTCAGCAGAATACTTTATTAATCCCTAAGGAAATAATGTATAATGAAGGAAAATGTACTTCTCATTGTTTTTGACGTTTTACCCTCTCATAAGTTAACCCTTTGTTTTTAAAGATTGTATTCATTTGATGACAGAGCTGACGATTGATAGGAAAGGAGTGACAAAGTGCAAACGGCCACAGGTTAGACTCGAACCCCGTCCACTGTTCTCTGACCATCTAGCATATGGTTGTCTGCTCACCCACAGAGCTACTAACCGTACTACCCACTGTTTTAGACGTAAAACACCTTTTAGTGAAGCTAAAACATGATCTACACCATTGAGAATCTAGACATATTCCCAAATGGAACAACAGTGTATCTTGTGGTCACAGCATTTATACACAATAACTTTGGGTTTGTTTCTATTATTATTTACAGTCGTGTCTCCTTTACAACTTGAATAATTTCAGTAATTTCAGCGGCATCAAACAGGAAAGAAAAGCCATCAATTTGAAGTATCCTAAGTGTGTGCATTTTAGAGTTTTTGGGGGCCACATTTGCTCTTCAAACTCAATAGAGACCAACAGAAATAACCTCCTCTGTCATTTCTCAGAGCTAATTTTATCTCACCTCAGTATTGTTATGCAATGAAACACTCACACTCCCCTCAGAGCCCATGCATCTCACAAGCTCTCCAACATGAATATATTATGGGGAGACAGGGTGACTAAGCATGACACTTGCTGACATCCCGCTGGTTGGTGGGAAAGGCAGCAGAGCTTAAACATGACAGGTTATCTGCAGGGCAGGTGGGAATCAGCTGGAGTGCTGGATCTGGGTCTAAAACCTGGATTAATGTGAGTGTAAGGTCTCTTACCTAATCTGCTATCTTTTCCCTTTTGTCATATAATAAAAATGGATGTCATATAGCCAGATAGAAAACTTTTAGTAGTAAGTCTATTCCTTCATATAATAATAACATAATGGCAATCTTCCTGGAAATTCCATGTGGTAATCAAGAATCTGACATGGGGTTAACAATTTTGGTCATTAATAATGCTAATTTCTACAGTGTTTGGATACTGGAGTCTACAGTTTGTTTACACATGAAGCAAGCTGCTAATTTGCCAAAACTAAAGTCCATTTCCAATAAATGTAGCTCTAAAAATTATTGGCATCTTGTAATCTACAAATATGCAAAATTAGCCATTCATAGTCACTCATGTTGGGTTGTTTGGCCACAGTAGATGCATTTGGCATAGAACAAAACCAGCTTTTCAGGAGAAGAACTTGATAGTCATTGAGAAACACGGTAATGTAAATGTTACTGGCTTGGAATTCTTTGAACTACTGCATATACATTAGGGGCATCACAATGGCCTGACAATTAACTCATTCACTGCCAGCCATTGGCAGTGAATGAGTTAAACCCATTGACTCATGCACTGCAATTGACGGCTATAGACGTCAATGGCAGTGAATGAGTTAAAGTTAAACATGGAATCACGGACTGTATGTATCAGATGAATTTAAGTAAAAATTTAAGTAAAGTAAAAATAAAAAATTGAAATAATATTTAATTAGTGCTAAAAAATTTCTTACACCATTAAAGCATTAGTGTATTACTGAACCACTTTTTTCAATTCAACTTTATTTATATACCACCAAATCACAGCAGCAGTCATCTCAAGGCACTTGATAATGTGAGGTAAAGACCCTACACTAATACAGGGAAAACCTCAATAATCAGATGACCCCCTTTGACCAAACAATTGGTGACTGTGGGAAAGAAAAACTCCCTTTTAACAAGAATAAACCTCCGGCAGAACCAGGCTCAGGGAGAGGGGCCATCTGCTGTGACATGAAGCGCCTTGAGGCGACTTTTGTTGTGATTTGGCGCTATATAAATGAAATTGAATTGAATTGAATTGAATTGAATGGTTGGGAATGATGGGGGAAAGACACGACAAAAACACTCTGTAAAAGAGAGGCGGAGATTAATAATAACTAATGACTAAATGCAGAGTGGTGTGTAAACACACAGTGAATGAAGAAAGTGAGTGAACAAGAAACCCTCAATGCATCATGGGAAGCGTCCAGCAGCCTAGACCTATTCATGCATAAGTATGGGAGGATTCAGGGTCACCTGATCTAGTCCTGACTATAAATTTGATCAAAAATAAGTTTTAATAAGTTATAATAAGTTTTAGGTCTAATTTTAAAACTGTCTCCCAAATCCAAACTGGGAACTGGTTCCACACAAGAAGGGCCTAAAAGCTCAAGGCCTCTCATTCTACTTTTAAATACCCTGGGAACCATGTGTAAGCCAGCAGTCTTTGGGGGATGTGCTATATTTGGATAAGATGGAGCCTGATTATTCAAGACCTCATACGCCAGGAGAAGAATTTTAAGCCAATATGGCAGAAATATGCTCTCTCTTTTGTAGCCTCATTTATCTTCCCCACAAAGTTCAAATCATCTCAAACTGGTTTCTTCAAGATAACAATGAGTTCACTGTACTCAAATGATCTCCATAGTCACCAGATCTCAATCCAGTATAGCACTTTTTGGGAAGTGGAAAAATGGGGGATTAGCATCATGGATGTGCAGCTGGCAAATCTGTAACAGCTGTCTGATGTGTCATTGCTGGTTTTTGTATTTCTTAAGGACATGATTTTCAGACACTGTTCATCTGCTGTAGGTAGTGTTTTTAAGCCTGCCACTTTTCTTACTCCATACCTACTTACTCTGCTGTGATATTTTCCATAGATTCAACTAAAGAAACTTGAACTATGCTTTTGCAACAGGCTCCTAGCAATAAAGTGCCTAAGATTCCATCTAAAATTGGTTCTTTCTTTAAGTTTCTGTTATGTAGATGACACTCTGGTTAATCTTGTCTGCCTTTTTATACTTGAATTCATAATGTATTAGTGTCAAGTGGTTTCACAAACAAAAGAAACATTTTCTGAAAAGGATCAGGTACAAGGACTGAACCAAAATTCGGTAAAAAAAGCAGCCAATGTCCAAAAGAAAAAGTCTGAAAGAGCTTCAAAATATGTAGAGAACTAGTGCTTCCGAGGCTGGCTCCTTTCAAGCAAAATATAAAGACATAAGGGATGACTCGTGACTGTACCGTATAGTCCTAACATTGGTGAGTTTTAATTACAGCATAATAATGCATTATATCCAAGGGTTCAAATGTGCCTGTGTCTGAATTTAGGGTTATCCAACCTCCAAAATCACATTTTAGCCATGGTTATATTTTATAGTTGTTAAAGGCTTCAAAAGAAATGCTGGATAATATTTAAGTACTTTTCTCTAAACTCTGAAATTAGAAAGTTGAAGTACATCAGAACTGTACTTAACTGCAAAACACCTAAAAATAATTAGCACTGAAAATCAAATTCATTGTTAGCTTTAATCCAATATGCTACTTAGAAATAAGCCTTATGTCACTGACTGCATTCAATACTTTTACTCTAAATACATATTTGTCTGGTCATTGAATATTCAATGCAGTACCTTTACTTATACCAGAGTTGGGTTTGATTGGGTGACCAAGGTCACTTGGTGTGAGTCAGGGAATACTAATCAGCAAATCTTGATTTTACATCTGCATCGCACATTCAAAACCAAATTCATAAACCTGGAACACAGCAGACATGACAACACAAGCAAAATAAAGCCTCTATTATCAGCAAGGGCAGCTGCTGCTGGTGTGACTATTGTCTTTAAGTTATCACTTCACGCACGCACGCACACACACACACACACACACACACACACACACACACGCACGCACGCACACACACACACACACACACACACACACACAAAAGATCACCAAAAAACAACTGAACTTAAAATGCTCATAAAATGCTCATACTGTAACCAACCACAGCAATCACAATAAGCTTTTTTTCTCACTGTGCCTGGCTATTGAATAAATGTTCCTGTGAGGCAAACATTGCAGAGAGATCCTTTCTACCCACGCACAACCTGACAGAGACATTGAGTCCACTTTGCCTCTACCCACTGGGGCACCCATAGCCTCTTCAGTTTCAATTTGTCTGAATCCTATTAAGGGCCACACATCCTCACTCCCTCATCTTTTTTCCTTATTAATCACAAGACACACCTCATTAGATTTGCAGTAGATCAAGGGCAGTAGCAGCATTATTCTTTGACATCTCTGTTGAGCTTTCTGCCACTGTGATTAAAGACAGCTGATGATGATTCCAATCTGTCCCTCATATTGGACCGCTTTGTCCCTAATTAGCCTGGGGCGGGGGTGCCCTTAAAGTATTTCTTCACACAGAATCTGACAATCTTAAACACCATCTGCACTGAGGATTTAGGTTTAGAGCTAATTTTAGTTGCTCCAGACCAGCGTGCGTTTGTTTTGGAAGGATGGAGCTGCAATCATCACCGCAGATGTGCAGACCTTGATTCCTCATGCTCTGTACGGTTACAGGACGGGGTCAGGCTGCATGCAGGAGACTCTGGATAATTAATATAACAGCGGCTTACTTGCCAAGCTCCTCGTACAGCTGGTATTCATCTGTAAAACGTGTGCAAGTAGTCGTTGCCATGATCTTTCCTCCTCGGACCGGTGTGCGGGTGCCGTCTCACAAATGTACGGTGTGTCTCTATCTGCACACAGGAGGACCTCGATCTCAAGTCTCCGCCCACCTTAGACCTCCGGACGGCGGAGTGCTTCAATTGCAGGCCGGTACACACACGCACGCTCCCGGCTCGGATGTCAGTAGGCTCTCCGCTCTGCCAAGCAATGAGGACGCACTCTTTAAATACCACACGAAACAGTAATGTGAGCTCACTATATGACGTGTCTCTCCGGAGAGAGAGAGAAAAAAGGAAAAGAAAGAAAGAAAAAGAAAAATCAAAAGCCGATAGTGAGCTGACCCAAGAGTGCGGAGGAGCGCAAAATTTGATTACACTTAATACATCATAAAGCGAAGAGAAGCCTGCAGCATACAATGACATTACTGCACTTGGAACTCAGTAAGGGCGCAGTGTGGATCTATTTTTGGGATTCGGTGAGGAGTCCCTCAGTTTATCACAAAACCTAAGAAAGTAATAATCAATAAGCATAATAATTTTATTACAATTTTGTAAAGGGATTATGGGCGTGTTCAGAGATGGGGCACGGGGAACCCCCCGCAAAAGATGCATTTATGAGTAGAAATTAGTATGTCCGTGTTATATGGCTTTCTGCTTCTGCCTCAAAGTCCAAACATTGCACTTTCTACTCAATACCGTTTATTTCAGAGGTGTTTTTTTTTTTAATTAAATGAAAACTTTTACAAGGTTGCATAAGTCTTACTGTTGTTATACATTCCGACCATATTTGCATAATTATTTTTAATTGCTATCTTGAAAGACAATTTCCAGCTAATGTTTCTATATTTGTCCTCTTCTGCCAAATTTAAATCACATCAAGTATGGTAGTAACATGAATTCTGTACAAATGTTGAGCTAAGAAAGACTAGATTCAACACTGACTGGCTGCGTAATCATGTGGTGGTGGAGGAGATGGTAGCGGTTGCGAGGAATTGTTTTTTTTATTTTTTATTCTCATGTCAAATATGCTAATGAAGCTAGAGCTTCATAGCTTGTATAATATGTAAGATTAACACATAAGGCTCTCTGATATACACAGGAAGAGTAGTAGTGAAACAACCAGAGGAATGTTAAATTAAAACTCAGGGACAGACAAAATAATCATTTGTGGGTGGGTACAGAGGACTACTCTCAACTTTACTCTTAAAGCAACCAATGGAAATACTGTTGACACTATTTATATCAATTATACTGCCATAAGTGAAACAAGAAAGCCCAAAATATCAAATGGTGTCTTTAAAAAATGGGGAGAGGAAAAATTCACTAAACTAGCTGTGGTCTGGGTTCATTAGGCAGATCAAGTATCGACTCTTGCCTTAAGCTGAGAAAATACTATTAAGGCTTATTACATTTTGCTTTGTAGGTTTCATATTCTATTCTTCTCTTCAAGATATTATAACCGTATTATTTCCATTTACACAGTAAAAAGACAGATAACTGAAAATGAGTGTGATGTATATGATACTTACAGATTATCCAGCTGTATACAAGATGATGTATGAAAGTATATGGAGCCAATGCATTAAAACAACACTGACGTTTCCTAAGTAATTAGGAACTTATTAATGTATTTAAGTTTTTAGTCTGTTTGATTTACATACATCAACAGTTTTTAATTAGACATGCTTTAGAAGGGAAGGACTGTAATTATGACCTCTTTATTATAATTTTTAATATTTTCTGTTTTGCTATTTATGGAAAAATGTATGCAGTGGACCATTGTTTTCACCAATGTATATATGATTAGCCTAAACCCTTGCATATGTTGATGTGGTGTGCAATGTCTCTTTAAAAAAATTATAGGAGAAAAGGACGCAGCAGATGGACAATACCTTTAAGTCATAACATTAATAAATAGGAAAGATTATAGCATTGACCAGATACAGGACATTTTAGATCCTTCTGGCATATCTGCTAATCCATCTGCTGTTTACTGAAGTCTTATTAGAAATGGTTTCAATGGAAGGGCGGCTATCAAAGAGCAATTTTTAAGAAAGGGAAATGGGGAGTAAAGGCTGAGCTATTGCATATCTGACATTACACAAGAACTGGACTGAAAATCAGTTGTAATAGGTCTTGAATAGGAATAATAATCTGAATTATTATTCAATTAAATTTTAATTTTATTTATACAGTGCCAAATCACAACAACAGTTGCCTCAAGGTGCTCAGAGCAGACCTAACAATAATACATACAGATTATGTATGAAGGTCAGGAGAGAGGTATAACACTGAGTACTCTGTATAACACAGTGGAGACTCTTTCAGCCTCTTTGGGCTTCATATCAACTGGTGGTGTTGGAGATTTTGTCAAAATTAATAGAATTTTGAACACAGAAAAGTACTGTCAGAGTCAGATTTGGATGTGCCATGCAGAGAGAATTGAAAAATAAAGATGATCATACTAAATATTGATTTTCAAGCACATCGGAATTCTAAAAACTCTGTTTTTTCCCCCTATTTAATATATATATTTGCTCATTTCAATAAATTGCTGCAGCTATTTCCCACCGTTCTATCAAAATGTAAAGAAATAGGGGGTGGCTTAAGACTTTTGCTGCACAGGATTGTACAGAATAGGTAAAATCACCTCCAGCTGAAGCTGGCCACAACATTAGTATACTTTACAGATGCAGCGTGCTAGTACCAGTTTGGACCACATTTTGCCTGGAGAGCAGCCTTAACTCTTCATCATAGACTGAACATGCTGGAAGCAATCCTCAGAGATTTTAGTCCATGTTGACATGATAGCATCACACAGTTGATGTCTACGTTGCAGGTATAGATATCAGTTGAAGTCATGTATTAACGTTAGCTATCTCAGGTAACCCTGGTCAGTAATTTCAGAAAACTGAAACATCAGTAAGATAAAATGCCTTAATATCTGTGAATGTTATTATGAGCCTATGAACCTTTAAGACTCAAGTTAAAGTAATGCATTCCTAAGCTTAATGTGTGCGTTCAATACATCTGTAATCACACTGTCTGCTAGTCTTTGCTTTTCAACACTTCCACTTTCCCCATGCTGTGAAAAGCAATGCTGATGTCATTGTTCTAGTGACTAGAATCTAGTCCAATCGTCTTTCTGCCGCCATCTTTAAACCAATCAGCCTCCATGCCACTTATTTTAACTCTCACTGCTCACTGTCCCCTTCAGACTCCTGTGCACAATCCACCTTCTCCACATCTCCCACGTTGCTCAGAGTTTCAGCCAAGCCTCCATCTTCATCACCACCATCAGGGTTTAAAATCCAAGGCAGTCCTACCTATTGAAGTAGTAGTTAAATCATTTAAATAAGTTAAGTTTAAATGAAGCTGTCTGATTTTATTTGACATTTATTTTAAAGATTATAATAGTTATGATTATGCTTTCACATATGTAAGTTAAATGTAATAAAACTGTAAAACGTATGATGTATTTTAACAACACTGTATGATTTTGATGTGTACTGTATATGTATAAATAAAAAAAATTATCTTATCCAAAGATTGGCGTGGACTCGAGGAGTTCAGAAAACCCTTTTTCATATTTATTTGTAAATTGTTAGATGTTTTTTTTTATTCTTGTTTTTTTTTGTTTTGTGTAGTCATTAACAGCAGAGCAAGGAAGCCGAACCAGCAGGTAATCATCACAGTTTGAAATAAAAACAGAATCAGTAGGGCAGATAACACATAGGGACGGCAGAGTTCAATCAAGAGTCAAACAGTGTACAATAGTACATATCAGCTTCAATTTAATGACTCATCCCGGTCAGAATACGGAAATATTCCCTTCCCACCAATCTCAACAAACAAAATTTGCAGCTTCTTTTATTAGGGACAAACTTCCATCATTCCAGCATTTCAAAGGTGTTAATAAGTGTTGCCTCTGCTGCCATGAGCTCTTTAAATGGAGATGCTTCAGTTCATGTTTGGCTGAGGTTTTGTGGCATGTCAGAACTGCACGGCACTCGGTGGGATGTCAAACATAGATGGGTCAAAGTCCTGCCCTTTGAAAGGTGACCCTTCAGCATCCCATCCCTTCTTCAGCATCTCATGCACTTTCTGCAAAGAAACATGGACACAGATATGTTATGTATGTATCTTTCATGCTAACAAACCTCCTCACAATTCACACACAATCCAGGTGCACTACAGCAGTGACTTCCAACTATATTTGTCAGAATAGGTTTTAAGGACTTGACTCAATAACTGAATATCATTTAAGCCGATTTATAAGATAAACGTTTTTATTTTACAGAAATAATATAGATATAGATAATATAGATATAGCCTGTGTGCGTGTGTAATGAATAGTTTGTGTTATTTTTTAATTTGCTCCTTACCAATTCGTGACTTTGTGGCTTTCCCTGCAGCTTCTGGTGGTAGTCAAATGTGAGCCTGTCCAGAACAGCATGCTCCTCCTCATCCACTGTTGCCATGGAACGCTCACGGTTAATTTGGTTTATATCAATCTCCTTTTCGCCTTTGAGCACCGCATTCCACCAAACCTCTGATGTCTTGTTCAGTGACAACTGTAATTCAGAGACAGGATGTTCAATTCAAATATGTTAGACAATCTTTGAAAAGCCAACACTGGCTTTTTAATAAAATTATTTTTACACTTATCCTGTTATTCCAAGCACTAGGGAGCATTAACTCTTTCTAAACTGAACATTAAATGAAAACATCTCATTATGCAATGCAGAGTCTCTGTAGAGTCTAGTGTTCCTGTACATGACATTAACTTAATATCCCCACAGGGAAAGAACAATATCTTACACAAAGATAAGCAATTTAATAGTCATTAACATGAACAAAATTTGATTTTTGTCTTCGATCACCACATTATTCATCATCTACAGCCCTTGTCACCTTCGGTGTACAGAAAGGTTGGACTGTAGCTCCTGTTTTACTTTTTATTCATAGAGAATTGAATTTTCCAAATTAAATCGGAGCTTTCAAACTCTGAAATGGAAAAGTCAATCTTTAATTTCTCCATACTACATTAGTGCAATTCCTTCTTCGCCACTCTCGACTCCTCTCTCCTGGCTTGGCTTCGTGTTTTACAATTGATTTTAAGATTTCGCTGATCAGCTTTGAAGCAAGTTCTGGTTCTGGAACAGCTATGACAGCCTCTTATGAGCCAGTAGTCAGGCCAGTCAAGCCAGTGCCAGTGACCTTCTTTCTTCTTTTTACTACCATAAAACCAGATGTTAGCTCCTGATAGGTGTTAATCCCTCTTGTTAG